AGGACAAAGAAAGGGTATAATTAAAGAAATTAATGTAAAGGCAAGCATCTTTTAGGGCATGCAACTATGCAAGTAGAAGAGAAACTCCTCAGGTTTATTAGAAGAACCTGGAAAAAAATGCTCATAGCCTAAACACTCTCTTGTCCCGGTGCTGCTTTATTAAAAATTTTCTTTTGAAAACATATATAGGTGTACTTTATTCCCAATTACAAGGCAATTTGCAATGCACATGCATGCATACGTTGGCTAGCTCTCTGGGTTGATAAGGAAGAATGCACATTATTGATATTAATTTATTAATTTGGTTGTCATGGCAACATTTCTCTTCCAATGTTGAAATTAATCTGTAATAATATTAAATGATACTCCCTCCGTCCCAAAATAAGCGCAGCCATGAGTTTCTGTGTCCAACTTTGATCATCCGTCTTATTTAATTTTTTTAAAAAAAAGCTAAAAACATAAGTCATGCATAACTAATCATAAAAAAAATTCAATTAAGACGGACGATCAAAGTTGGACACGAAAACTCATGAATGGACTTATTTTGGGACGGAGGTAATAAATTATCACTGAAGTACTTGATCACAACCATTAGTTTGTCAAGTAAAATTACCATTCCTTTTGCCTATGAAACCGTTTAAATTTTAGTTCAGTTTTTCTAAACCAGGATTTTGGAGCATGCGTCTTACTTAGGATTATTGACTCGATTCATATATTTTCCTAGCACTAATGTTCCTATAGGGTGGCTCTTGCGTGTTACTCTTAACATTTAATTGATTGATGTATCAAACAATTTGTTGTTCTTTATTTATTTTTCTTACAGTTTTAAGTTTATAATCAATATATATCCAAATATTTATATTTTTAATATATCTCAATTCATGTCCATTTGTTTCCACCTTATTCGACTCATGTTTAACTTAATTCTTTAATTAAAGAGATTATACTAATTTAGTTAATGTGGTTTTTCAAGTGTTGTTAAAAGTGTTTCTAAATTCCCGTTGCAGCGTGTAGGCATCCATAAGTTTGTAGAGAAAACGGATAACCATGTCCATCCATGTGATTTTCATTAATTATGCTATCTATCAACTAATCTTTTTCTAACTGTTGATGGAGATATATTTCAACAGGCGGTGACACAGGTGGCTAGCAGAGAAGAGGAGGGAAGTGTTTTGGTAAATATCATAAAAAATCTAGGAAAATGTTCTATCTGCAAGAGGAAAATTATTTTGGCCAGGATTGGTCTCTACTAGTGCTAGGCCGGCTGAGTGTAAGATGGGGTGGTTGTTTTTGCTGATGGAGGAAAATATCTCCTATATCCTTTTATCCTTCACATTTGTTGAGAAAATGGATAAGATCCATGTATGAGAGTTTCATTATCTCTATCAACTAATTCTTCTTCTTTATTGTAGATAGAGATATATTTCAGCCCGCAACGATATCACAATTGGTGTAACTTTATCAGCCGCGTAATTTAGAGAATATATGGCTTTTCTCCGTATAAAAAAAAGAAGTGTTTTACACTTCTGGTCTCTGCACAACGTGCACACAAACCAATGAGGAATATATAGCTAACACTACATCGATCCGTCGTCCACAGGCATTTGCTCTCGCCTAACAACGGCTCTAGCTAGACCTCTGAACAAGTGATCATTATCATCATAAGATTCTGCCTAAAAGCTAGTTATTATATATAAGCATTGTGGTTACAGCATGCAAGCATTACATGCACGATATGATGGCACTACACGATCGAGAGAGAGAGAGAGAGATTATATATGCAGTTTGGCGTCCAGAACAAACCAAACACTGCAACTCTAGCTTTCTCAAAAAGACAGTGAAAGTTCTACTAGCTAGCTAGGATCGATATTATGCATCCAATTTGCACTTTGAAATGGCAATTTAATGCCACCTTTTTGACTGGTCCTACCTGATTAGTTAGTACTAATTAATCTTTTATGTTAGTTGCATTGACCTTGGCGAAATAATGCATGTTAAAAGGAGGAAGGTACCATTTGAACTGTGAAACTTTGGGCTAGTTAGGGTGGTTAGCTAGGCACCGAATATGGTAAAGATGAAGAGAGCTATATGAAAGATATTTCTCTCTCTCTCTCTCTCAAAAGCTTGAACATTTCGTTTCTTCAATGTAATTAAGCTATAGTCATCGTTTCATCGAGCAGAGGTTTAAGCTGATAGGTAAAAACGGGGAAATTTTCTTCGGATTGGTATGCATTGCTTTACATTTAGACGACTAGACTGTACATTTATGTCTTTTATAAAATTATATATATATACAAAAGATTTGCATATTATTGTGTTAATATAAGCTAAACTGTAGTTAACGAGTGGATTTAAGTTGTAAAGGTGAACATATTTCTATTTGTTTATTACAACTGTATAAACAAGTTGTACACATTGCTTTTATTAGTTGTAGACACAACTAGACATATGCAACGTGAAAAACGCTGGAAATTAACCCATTAAGAGACTTACTAGCTAGAGGCCATATACAGTACGCCTGCATGTTTGCAAATCAAGCAGCTGGTTTTTTTTTGCAAGTAGTGAGTGATCGCCTGCATATATAGCTAGACCAAATCTTGATGAATGTTAATTATATATAAAAAAAATTGGCCTTGAAATGACCGAACGTATTAGTGACTCTGAGATGCCGGCTTATCGCCATAAACTTTTCTTATCTGAACAGTTGCTCCGTATCTGAATTCAGAAAAGGAAATTATTTCCTCAAGTTAAAATGCTTATAGACAGCTTCATGTGAAACGAAACCAAAATACCATTTCGCCACCATTATTACCTTAATATATTCATGACATTTCATATCCAAGATATCCAATGCGTGCATCACGCTATGCCTATACTACATCACTACTGTCATTGTCTGTACTAGCGCCCTGTTCATTCAGATCAGGCTTGCAGGATTCAGAGCTGAGTGCAGACAGCTTTGGTGACCAATAGAACTCTCATTGTTACATTTCGAAAGAAAAACCATGGAAACTTTTCATATAAGTTTATATTTATCAGGAAATATATTAAACATTCAATCATGATAGCAGGAAGAATGAAATAAGTACAGATATAAAATTTTAAGAAAAATCCTATTTCTAAATTCTAACTCTCTCATTGTGTACTTGTTGGCCACAGCAAAAAAAATAATAATTATATACATAATTTAGAGTTGATTTTAAGATCTTTTCATCAAATTCTATTTTCTATCATCAAACCTGTAGCAATAGAAATATAAAAGTTTAAGTGAATTTAAAAAACTGCATATAGATATTTTTCACAAAACTACAGATTTAAGGTGTTATATCACAAAATTACAAATTGAACATTAAATTTATCATAAAACTATAGATTTAAGGTGAGATAAAGCAAAATTACAGATATAATAGTGAAGTTATCACATAACTACACATTTAGAGTTTAAATCTTTAGCACTACTATTATGTTGGAGTTATATATATTATAGTTTTGTGATTAAATTGGCGCTAAACATGTAGTTTTGTAATAATTTTACCAGTATATCTATATTTTTGCGATACTCAATCTTAATTCCATTTTTTCATAATAAGTTTACTACTAAATCTATTGTTTCATGATTTTTTTTAGATAAGGAAAATGATTTATATCCCCGACCTCTGCCAACAAGTTGCATGCGGCCAATGACTCAGAAAAGATAAATAAATACTTGAGGTTATGAGACAAACCCACATCTCTCTCCTAATTATATCTAGCTGAAAAACCGAAAATAGAACATATAAAATCTATAACGATATTCTATAAAAACTACAACATCCAAAGTGGAACAACAGACATCTAGCTATCGACTTCAAGAGTGTGTAGCTACACTGCACACAGTATCATGCTCCTTCTGTGAAAGCATCCAGAACAAAAATGGAGTCAACTGGAAGGAAGACATGAAGATAACCTGTAATGGTTAGAAAATTTTTTATCATTGAATAGTATATCATTGCGATAATGCCAAATTAACCAATATAAGACACTTCCAAACAAATTAGTTTTTTTAGTGGATCTAGGCACTCCCTTTAGACAATTACTAAAAATATTTTTTTAGCATATCACTATATCAGGGAGGAGGGATTTTGAAAGGAAAAAATATATATCGCTAAGCACACTTTACAATATGGCAATAAAAAAAATATGCTGTATAGGAACTTTGGACTTTGGGCATTTGGATGGTTTGTACGAAACAAATTAAACGACAGAAGGTTGGTGAAAATAATTTAATGGACGAGAGATACTAGAGAGAGAAAGGGGAAGAGAGAGTGCATGCGACTTCTCAAAACATGAGATAAGACCTCATGTTTGTTTTCATTTAGAATTGGGACATACGTAGGAAGCAAGTTATTTTTCTTAATCATATACTCCCTCATTCCTTAAATGTTTGACGCCATTGACTTTTTTAAATATGTTTGACCGTTCGTCTTATTCAAAAATTCTTGTGAAATGTCTAAAACTATATGTATACATAAAAGTATATTTAACAATAAATCAAATGATAGGAAAAGAATTAATAATTACTTAAATTTTTTGAATAAGATGAATGGTCAAACATTTTTAAAAAAATCAACGGCGTCAAGCATTTTAGAATGGATGGAGTATATTCCTTCGTTCCAAAGGAGTTAATATATAAGAAAATTTTCCTAAGGATTAATGAAATCGTTTCAAATTAATTTCCTCTGAAATTCCTTCCACCCAGAAGTCTGAAGAAGCTAGGAACTTTGCTGATCGAGTTTCACACGCGCCGTTGTCTTCCGAAGAATCTACCTGAACCCCAGCATCACCACCACCACCACCACCACCCCTGCGCGCGGCGCGCAACGTGCACAACACGCGGTACGCACGTTCTCTGCAGCAATCTCCACCGTCAGATCACGGCGCGGCCGCGGTTCGAGCGAATCCCGGCCGTCCGTGATCTCCTTGGGGGGTTGCCATCCCTCCCCTATAAATTGGAGAGGGCCAAGCCATTTACCCTCCAAAATTAAGCAGAGCTAGCTTCCTCTACCTGACAAGTGTGTTCCAAGTGATCACTACCAGCTACTTGACAAGTGTATTTAAGTAGCTAATTAAGCAAGCAGCTGTACTGAGTACACAATGGGAGGAAACCTGTCTTGCTTCGGGTCGGCGGCGGCTGGTTCAGGTTACGGGGACATCGCCGACGACCAGCCGGCGGCGGCGGCGGCGTACGAGCTGCGACGGTCGTCGAGGAAGGTGCGGCCGAGCGACGAGGACAGGCTGTGGTACGTCGGCGAGCGGGACGTCGACAGGAAGGCGGCGGAGTTCATCGCCAAGTTCCATGCCTCGGCTAGGTTCGTGGAGGCTTGAATTGAGCCTAATTTGATGACATCTTCAGATATCTTGGTTCTTGGATCTATACCTGGGTCACTCTCTCTAGCTAGCTGCTGCTCATGCTGGTGATCTGCTTGGTTCGTTTAGTTTACTTCTCTTCTTGTATAATTAACTGTGTTAATTAGCTAGTCCTATGCATATATAGATATATGTATGTGTATATCAATGTATGTACTTAATCGGTGTAATTAAGGACGTGTAAATCTGTATTATTATTATTCTGCTAAATAAGAGCAATGCTGCACAAGCTGCTGTTGTATGTAAGTACATGTTTCTTGCAACGAGTTGGTCTCTGAAATCTGAAGTGAAATGCAATGTTTATTGCTTGATGGGATTTGAGAGGATGCAGTGAATTAATAATTACTTGCATTAGGAGAACAGAAGTTCCAGTAAGGATTAATTATTTATCAGTACTAAGTAGTGAACTCTACAAAGATGTTGTGGCTGGTCAGGTAATTAACACAAAACTTATTTGGCACGCAGTTTATATGTGAATTAAGTGCTGATTCAGACTGGCATCCTCTCGCTAGCCATATCAGGAATGCTGATTTTTTGCTTTCCAATTTTCCAATTTTGACCAAGAAAATATTTATGTAACTAGCCTTGCCCTTCATACAAATGCTTATAGACTATGTTACCCACTTACCTGGCTACCCTTCACGACTAAATTAACAATGCAATTCCGGTAGTTTTACTAGCTAGCTGATTCGATTAATTCCTTTGAAAACTAGCAAATTAACAATATATAATGATATACTTGAAGCCTCGATCGGTAAGCTCATCATCAAGACTAGCTTATCTGTAACGGATTACAACATTATGTTCAGCTTAATTAAAGTCAGAGAAAAAGGAAATTCCACAGTGGATCTCCTCAATTTTACCCTTCTGCTATTTTCACTCATAGCACTTTACCAAGTCGAGGTAGAGTTTCCAACATTTACAGAAAAACGATGGATGTTTTCTTTGGCTAAATACTTGTCAAAGAGATGACAATTTAAGGACTTACTGATTAAAAGTTATGCAAACCTCAGCCTTTGCATCCAAGCATTACTATTGATGCCTTGATTAGTTCATCTTCTTCAGATATTTAGAAGGAGATCTGCTATAGATTGACAGTAAAATGTGATGGTGAACGTTAATAAAGTTAATGCGAAATAATTGAGGAATCACATTATTATTGGAGTAACAGTTTTGATTGAACACTTAGCACTATTTAGTAGCTGATATATGTTTACTTCCAATTATACATCCATGATTGAGTAATATTAACCCTTGCAAGAATTGTGATGATATTCGATCGCATCTCATTTTCAAAAAATAAAAAAAAAACATTTATGTTGTTTCAGTACTTAATTTCTTGCCTCTAACTGAATTTCTGCTGCAACTAATTTTCTTACAACATTTATGAAGTTAATTTGTTTTAAAAGACATGATATTACTGAAAATTGTTATATTTATGTAAGTTGAAAAGGTTTGACATATGGATACAAAAGATTCAAGCTTATCTTGGGAAAAGATGATCAAATGCTCGGCTCGCTGGACGATACTTATCTAAACAGTCTCTTGGATGCAAATATTGCATAGTAAAACAAAAAATCAATTGCCTACTATTTCGTCAGTACAATGGAGTTTTGGTGCCATAAAAATTACCAGGATTTTGTACCAACAGATAGTACCAAATATATTTTTGCCGTATGGTCTTTTCAGTGCAATGAACATATTCTACAGCTACATATCACCAACCATTTTAAGGACCTAACCAAAAAATAAAAACATTTAAAAACAAAACATGAAAGGCGCGACAATCTTTCCCGACAAAAGCTTTTATCATAAACATATTTGTCGCATTACTTGTCCCCGTTTCATGTACGGTGGGATCTCATAGGCCAGAACCATGTTCCAGCCTAGCAATGTAACCATGTTCCTGCCTAGCAATCTGCTGTCACACTAAATCATTAATCAACTGTCACTTGATGCTTTCATTCATGACATTTCCTCCAAACCATCACTGATCAGCATTCTAATTCTATTTTTAAAAATCAGTGTGATGTGTTGCCTGTCAATCTGTTAATTAACTTTTACATATATCTGTTCAGTCAATTTTTTTCACTTGCAACACATCTCTTCCATATGAATATATTTCACCGAAAACTTCAAAATTCAGGTTAGTACTAGTAAGCTGTTTTTCATACGGAATGTTATTAATTGCAGTAAAAAAAAACGCATTCGACAAGGATCATCAGCAACTTAAGCTCCCAAGAACCTGTGATACACACTTTCCCCGGCAAAATTAAGATTCGATCCAACTTAGAGGGATCACTTGAATTTGTCTCTGAACTCTCATCCTTTCTTTCCCTTAACGTCCGAAAATTCCCCTTCTCAAGCCATCATCAATACTTTAGGGCTGGGGTATCAAATCCTCCCATGGCAAGTGTTGCTTTAGGTAGATAAGAAGAAGGAGCCAATGATTTGTGACAAGTCACTGGACCTTGTGTGTTGGAAAATTATCAGAAAAGATCGTTGCTTTGTACCAATGGCACCGGATCATCGTCCTCGGAATTGCGCTTTACATATACCGTTTACATTACATTCTTCAGTGGAGTTGCAATTACCCAATTACTATATCTTTGACCTGTCAATCTCTGCATGTTTGAGAGGACAGGGCTGGTGAATCTGAATATTCTCAAGAAATGGTGGAGATATCGTTTTGAGAAAGCGGAAATTCCTTTGGCATATACCGCGCTTTCGCTTTTCTACTGTACCAAACTCTGAGATTGTCCGCGAGATTTCCTGTTCATGTTCATCTGCAAATAATAGCCTGTGTATGTGCTTGCCACTGTTGCATGATTTGGACATCATGATCAAATCAATAGACACCGCCATATGTGCCACAAAATTGCCTATTTGTGTCACCCTTGTTCATGGATTTTCAGAAGCTGAATGGTTGCTTGTAGAAGTATCTATGACACTTCCTGGATTTCAAATTATCACCAAATTTCAAACTTGGCAAGGGACATTTTTTTCAGGACATAGCGTCAAATAGGCTCAGAAACAGTCTTTTATTCTTTTTCTCATTTTTCCCCTTGTTGATAGGAACAAAAACGTGCAAAATTATGTCATTTCTTTGGGCAGCATTGGACGGAGGAGAGCAATCTTCACATGGTGTTGCACAGCTGTGAGCACATGATGTGTGAAAAGGCTATCAAAGAAGGCCTTTTTTTTCAGTACTTTGGAAGTACCAGTTACTATGGAAAAAGTACATCCATAGTACACCAGGTTTCTGGAAGAAAAAAAAACAAATTTTGATAAATGAATGCTAGCCTAACTTGTTAGGACTTTCTAGTTATAAACTATTTTTTACAATGAGATTGAACCTTTGTACCTAATAAAGGTTTCCCTTTTATGTTTTCAAATGATCCTTTAAGCATCCTGAAGCTAATAAATTATGGATTCTTGATTTTGACATCATAGGTATTGGTATTATATGTATTGGTTCAGTGAACCAAACATGAGATTCTAATTCAGATAGCTCCTTGATGGGGCAATATGCATTAAATCTTACATAAATACACTATCATTAGACAAGTGACAAGAACCTGGCTATAGCCAAGATTTGCATTGGTCCTTTTTTGCCAAGCTGTATCCCATGGAATCTGAAAAAGAAAAGAGGGAGTTCTTCTTTGGGGCAATTACCAGCAGATTGCTCAGTATGCATATGTCAGAATTCAGAGATTGTTCTCATCTATAAAGTGCCGCAAAATTCATTCCACCATGACAAATATAGATCGCAGATCGAGCTTGCGTTCGATGATGAGAACAAGTTGCACTTTGAAGCCACACCTGATAATTTTGCTTTCAATCAGGAGAAAAGGCTGCCCAAAGCATCGATTCTCTGCTATGCAACAAGCGCATGTAGCATGTGCGTAGCTCTCTTATCTTCTCTGAACCTCTAGCTGAATTATGAACAGATTTTAGTATCATACACACTGATATGTTGGCAGAAGCAGAACTGCAGAAGGTTGGTACGGGACAAGTAAAGAGATCAGTACTACGTATTTCAGTACATGATACGTCTACTGGCGTACCAACATTCAACAAAACCATTGTTCAGACTTATCTAACTGGGCTACCGATATATACAGCTGGTTTTCAGTGATATGTTCTACCACATATTTTCAAACCTACAACTGGGATTGGCATTGCTAGGCAAAGTAGTGGGACTATTTTTTCGCGTTCTTCATTTTTTGTGCTAGCAATGCACAATAACAACATGCCAGACCGTTGTTTCAATGGCGTTGAAGGTGAGGCGATCACCTTCTTTTACCTCATTTTCCAGGCAAAATTTTCTCCAACCTGGTCCATTTATGTAGCCATAGGTGTTCGCTGTTTTGAAAGCCACTCGCCAAGATCCTTTTTTCTTCATGGATATCTTCAGTGTGATCGCACAGGCTTCTAGCAGACCAATTTGAGAGCAAAAGGTGCCTCTCACAGACTGCAATGTTAAAGCAATATAAAGAAATAAAATAGTAGTGAGATGTTTCATTATTTTTGAAAAAATAAACGTTCACAAAAATCAGAAGGATTGTTATTGTCAACACACTGTAGATTAAGAATATGTATGGCATTTCTGTATTGCCTTCCCTAACAAAAAAAATATATTGAGAAACACAAAAGAAATTTTCATTTTCATATCAGAATCAATAACAAGTACTACAAAATGGTCAAAATAAACAGCCAAGGACTTCTTGTCAGGAAATTCTCGACATTTAACTGATGGTATTTAACCAAAATTCTCATGATAAACTACATTTTTAGTTGATATCATGTTGTAGTGTCCTTTTTCTCTATGTGTATGACAATTTTACAATTACAGATTTGGTTCTTTAAAGCAAAAAAAATCATCCATATTTAGACCTAACAGATAGTTTCAGAAATTGAAGAAACAAAAGTCAGTGATTTTCCATGTTGATAATTTCTATATTTTTTTCCTTAAGCTCGTATTAAACCAAAAAAATCATCCATATTTAGACCTGAACAGATAGTTTTCAGAAATAGAAGAAACAAAATGTCAGTGATCTTTCATGTTGATTAATTTCATTTTTTTGTTCTTAAGCTCATAAGCAGTTAAGCTAGATAAAAACAGCAGAAGCTGAAGCGCTCACAAGTAGGCTATGAATACTATAGGCCGTCATTTCCTTTGTGAATGAATTCTGTGACACAATGCTGACATGTTTCTTATGTGGTTCAACCTTCACGGAAATTGGGGAAGCCCTAGATTTCCTGTTTGGTCCCTCTAAGCATGTACCCTCAATTCTTCGCGTCCTTTTCCGCTTGACAGGTGAAACTCCAACTTTTGCTGCACCTGCATAATTACATTTTGAAAAGAAACACGGAAAATCCATAGTTGAAACTACAACGGAGCTGGAATGCTACTGGCTTACTTTGTTGAGGCGCATTGCTCGGTCCTTCGGTACCATCAGTTAAGTACAGCGCTGCCGTTTTGTACTCCTTCAGGCAGCCGTTCTGTAGGAACACCTCAACCGTGAACACCATGTTACCTTCATACCGGAACAGCAGGATGTTGCCTTCGGAGAGATCATGAGCAGCCAGAAATGGCGCCCAGCCGTCTCGCAGTAGCACGTCCGGTTGCTCCCGTTGTAGTTCGACTCGCCAGAACTTGCCAAGAGGGCAAACAATAATGGCATTCTGGTGGTTGTTTGTGTAGGTTTCAGTCAGGTGTTGCTGCACAAACTTCTCAGGGATTTTCTGAAAGAATGTTGACAGCAAAAGAAAGAGCATGCTGTGAGCACATAATACATATAACTGCATCACCTTCAGAGCTAATAGCCTATCAATTCCACAAATACATAGTACTACTAGCACTAGCTTATTAGCTGAAGGCGGCCCTGTTCTTTTCATCTCATTCATCGAACTATTGAAACGGGGTTATTTGCTCCACTCTTCGAAAAATACGTTACCACTTGTTTTAAGTTATTTGTTTAAGTTTATTTCTTAAAGCATTTAACTTATCCCCATAATCCAATCGATCGATAATCCGCTTAACAATCTAAATCAAACAAGGCCAGAGTGCATTATCATAAGAAGAAGAGAAGCAGGTAATCAACCAGAAGAGCAGAACTTGGGCGGAAGTTGCAAGGGTTATGACGGGTGAAGCGGAGCTGTGGCGGCTAGCTAGAGCTGCAATCCCTGTTTTGGTAGCTCATGTTAGTGGAGAAGGGTCGCAAAATTTAGTTGGAGATTAAGCTTTTGTTTCTTGGTTCTCCTCCTGTACCCTGTCCCCTTCGCTTTGTCTTTTCGGCCCACTTTGTACATACATTTATTCCTTCTTAATACAAAGATACGCTCCTTGCGTATTCCAAAAAAAAAAAAAAGGTAAAGATGATGGCTTGGTGAATGCTCACCATCTTTTCCAGGTCTTCCTGTTGGAGCAGCTTGATGAAGCGAGGCCTGTCCTTGGTTCTCATACCTGTAAATGCAACCATAATCCGAATGTTTAAAAAAAAAAGCTACAAATCTTTACAAAGTAAAACCAAATTAGTCATATTTCAAGCAAAAATAATTTAACTCAACTTTGGCTCATGAATCATTATAGAAAAACATATAGAAATGGATAAACAGTTACACATACGCCATTGCTGAGATTTGGTGTACCTGCGTGAGGAGTGCAGAAGCGCGCGAGGCAGAAGCCCGGGTCGAACACCCTGAGCGAGGCCACCCCGCGCCGCTCCAGCCTCAGCACCACGCCCCACCCCTCGCCGAGCCCGTGCGCCGCCGCGAGCTCCGACCATCCGCCGCCCAGCCACGCCTCGCCGTCGCCGGCCGGCGAGCGGCGCAGCTCCACGCGCCAGACCTTGCCGAGCGGGCCCACCACGAGCACCGCCGCCGCCCGTCGGCCACTCTCCTCCTCCTCCTCCTCCCCGACCCCGGCGGCGTCGTCGTCGTCCAGCCTCGCCGCGAACTCGCCCGGGACGCTCTGCAAACCAACGATGATCACATCACGTTACTGGTGAGACCGAGACGCAGCTCGTCACGTCCGGGCTCCGGTCGATCGGACTCGGAGTAGTACGAACCAGCCGGTGGAGGCAGGCCGGCGAGAGCAGCGGCGCGGCGAACTTGGGCCGCCGCCGCAGTGAGCCGGCGGAGAGTGGCATGCTCGGTGGAGAGTGGGAGAAGCGCGCGACAGCCACGATGTCGCAGGTAGCTGAGCTAGCCGTGTGAGTGAGTGTGAACGCGGCGAGAAGGCTGCCTGCCTGGGCGTGGTGGTTGGAGTGGAGTGGTGGCTCCTCGGAGATGGTGTTGGATGGGACGAGACGGCGGAGGTCGGTTGGTCAGGCCGGCTTCTCTCCCTCTCAGAATTCATTGCCGGTCAGACAACGGTCAGATGGAGTGTATGTCTGGTCCGGAAAAAACCAACCTATCATGAGATGGATTTCGTTGTACTATAGCAAATCTAGATAAATATTTGTCCATATTTATTGTGCTAATAAGGATCACATCTCCTTCTAGATTGGTTTTTTTTTTTTACAGATGAAGTACTGTCTTCCATCTAAGGCTCCCATCGGTTGCCCATTTTACAAATTAATTTATAAGTAAAACTTTTATAGATTTGTTCATAGCGACTTAAAAGCTAACATTAACAAAACTTACGTTAAAAGCATCTCAAAATCAACTTCAAAATTAAGTTCAAAAATTCAAATTTTGACTTATTCTTTGGCTGTTTAGGCCAAACTATGAGGCTCTGACATCTCCAGCTGAACACGAAAAAGCGAAAGATGAACCTTTTCATCGAGTGGACGTGGCGAGTTACTTCGTATCGCTAACCTATGAAGAATCACCTACGCCTTTCAGGCCTCTCACATGCTCCTACGTGGAGCGTTACCTCCTTGCACCAGCTAGGAATATCGCAGACGTGTCGCGCCGGACCGCGTCCTTCTTGAGCTGCTCGCTCCCACACAAGGCAACGCGATTCCTTGCTCGCGTGAGACCACGCGCGGTGGAGGGAACGCCTGAAGCCCGCGCTGTGGAGGGTGTGCCTCCGACTCACCATCCCCTCGTGCCCTCCACAGCGTCTCTCCCGCTCTGCGTCGTCGATCTCGTCCTCGTCCCTGCGCTCTGCTCCGCATCACCGACCTCGGTGTCACCGGGGAGTTCGTCGCCACACTGCTTGGGAGCTCTGCGCCGCCGCCACCGCCACCGTCCTTGTCGGAGAAGCTCGCGGGCTCGATGAGGAAAGCACGGAGAAGGAAAGGAGCTCGAGGTCGAGGCCACGCCCGAGCTCGCTGTCACCTTGATCCAGTGAGCCTAGGACACATCTGACCACTCAGCCCAATGTCGCCGCTCGGGCTGTTGCTCCACCCGGTTTCGCGAGGAAGACAAGGTCGCGTGGTGACCTCCGCGAGGAAGACCCCGCCGAGAGTTCGTCGCTGCGGAGGGTCGTAGGGGGAGGGAGGCGCCGGCGTACATGCCTTCTTGCCCCTTGGAACATGAGGAGAGAGGATAGAGAGAGGGAGATGAAAAGGGAGCTCAATGGCGTCATCGTCTGGAGATGTGCCACCCAACCGTCGATCCGTTCCCGACTCGGCGCGCCGCCGGTCCGTTTCTCGCCCGGCGCATCACCGCCTGGGCCACCGCTGCGATGGGGAAGGCAAAGGGAAGAGAGAGAGGGGGGGAGACATGGATGTGAAAAGAGAGATGGGTGGGACCTACTAACACGGGTGGGACCTACTAACATGTATTGTTTAAGACACATGCATCGTGAAGTGTGGTTCTTTACTCGGTTCCTGGTCTAGCTGGAGGCTTAAGCTCCTCAAGTGTGCTACCCGCACTCCTCATAGAGAGTAGACGTGGCGAGTTACTTCGGACCTAGGGCCGTCTCCCGGAATCGGGGACCCCGGAACGAAATATAATTTGAGATCCTACATTTTACTTTTGATTCAATAGATCATTTAAATTAGTAAATTATATTCATGGTAATTTGATTTAAAAGAAGAGTACTGAAACATTCAATTGATCATGCATGGATACATGCATGCAATTCAATAATTGAGTATGAACAATTCAGTATTTGACTTAATTACCAGTTGTCCAGTCTAACTCTTTATGGTCCCTTTAAATCGCAGGATTGAGAAAACAGAGTAATAGAAAAACGTAGGAATAGAATGCCACACTTATTGAATTCCTATAGGATTTTGAAACACAGGAAAGTCTCCAAACAATATTGATTAGCGCACAGGAAAAACGCAGGAATCTTAGACACATGAAGAGGAAAACATGAGGTGATATCTCATACTTATTTTCCTCCAAAATTGCTCTAATAAGGTTCATTCCATAGGAATTTCAAAGAAATTGATAGGAAACAATTCTTTGTTTCAAAGGACTCTATAGTATTATTTTCTATAGGATAAAATCCTCTAAAATTCAAATGGTTTTTACTTTGATTCAAAGGAACCTAATATGGTAGACGAGGTAGTTGGCTAGCTGCTCTGGGCAGCGTCATTGTTGATCAAAGCTGGTTTCACATGCATGCACATGAACACACATAGGACGTCAGTTGTAATCCTAAGGCTGGCTGGTTGTACTGGTCTCTCTGATTTGGGGGGCCTGCGCTGACACTCCGTTCGCACGGCCTCGTCAACGGGCCTGTTAGTATCGCCAACTAGAAAATTAACATAGTACTCCCTCCTTCCCTAAATATTTGATACCGTTGACTTTTTTAAACATTTTTGACCGTTCGTTTTATTCAAAAACTTTTGTGTGATATGTGTAAAACTATATGTATACATAAAAGTATATTTAACAATAAATTAAATGATAGAAAAAGAATTAACAATTACTTAAATTTTTTTAATAAGACGAACGGTCAAATATTTTTAAAAAGTCAACGGCGTCAAACATTTTGGGATGGAGGTAGTAAGTGTCAGCCAGAGCACGCTCTTGATGGGCCTCTCGCTTCGGGAGACGCGATTCTAACCCTCCCGCGAGGGGCGTGGCTAATGGGCGGGTGATCGCCACAGCGATCACCCCCATCCCCCCCTATACGCTCCTCTCCCCCTTCCTCATCCCATTCTTCTCTTCCTACTACACCATAAATTTTTTTAAAAAATAAAAATACAAAGTTGGAAAAATTTATGTATAGAAATACTATATATAAAAAATATTTGAATTCAAATTCAAATTCAAATTTAAAACGGGTATGTAAACTTTGGGTCTATAAACTAATATTTGAATTCAAATTCAAATTTGAAAAGGGCATATAAACTTTGGGTCTATAAACTAATATTTGAATTTAAATTCAAATTTGAATCGGGTATGTAAACTTTTGACTTATAAACTTTGGGTCTATAAACTTTAGGTGTATAAACTTTAGATGTATAGAAATACTATATATAAAAAATATTTGAATTCAAATTCAAATTTGAATCGGATATATAAACTTTTGACTTATAAACTTTGGGTCTCTAAACTTTAGATGTGTAAACTTGAGGTGTACAAAAACTTTAGGTGCATAAATTTACTAAAATAGGAAAGTAATGCAATGCCAAAAAAAGGAAAACACGTGGAGGAGGGTGAGTGTCGATCGCCGCGATCACCTGTTAGCCTTTTCGTCCCGCGAGTCTATGCGTAAACTTTTGAATCGGATATATAAACTTTTGACTTATAAACTTTGGGTCTCTAAACTTTAGATGTGTAAACTTGAGGTGTACAAAAACTTTAGGTGCATAAATTTACTAAAATAGGAAAGTAATGCAATGCCAAAAAAAGGAAAACACGTGGAGGAGGGTGAGTGTCGATCGCCGCGATCACCTGTTAGCCTTTTCGTCCCGCGAGTCTATGCGTGGCGGAGAAAACGCATCCCGCCTACGCTGTGGAGTGCGTGGCTCCAAGTCGCCATCCCCTCACGCCGCACAGGGGACGGAATCCCCAAAGTAGATCGGGCAAAAACTAAATACACTTCATATTTTGAGACAGAGGGAATATGTGATTATCCTATTGATCAAATTGAATAGCTCTCTTTAAAACATTAACCTTTTATTTCTTCATGTTATATAATTTTTAAATTTTACTTATTATTATATATATTTGTCTATCCTCATATATTTTTGAAAATATGACATATCACAATATCGCCGTACCACGTATTTCAATGTTTTAAATAGCGGAATAAGACATTTAGCGGTTAGCTTCTCAAACTATAGAGGGCCAAATGGAGCTATAGCGACTAAATTGTATATGAGAGCAAATAGCTAAAACCTTTCTCAAACAGCTATAGCGGGAGATAGCGCAGCTATAGCGGGAGACTTAAAACCCGGCGTATTTGTATCAGATTATCCCTGGATTGGTTGAGATAAAGTAGTAGATGAGAAAATTAAATGAGTTATGATTAGTTGAGATGGGAAATCCAAGGATGTCGTTGTATTCTTGAAAGAATTTCAAATTCTAATTGTCCTTGAATTTTTGGACACAGTATGCAAGTGATCAATCATCCAGAAAGACTAGAAACTTAAGCTATGGTGCTTCACAAGGGAAGAGGGAGAATAGAAACAATTTTGAGCATATGTTAATCGGAGGACTAAAAATAAAAAATAATTGATAAGTAGCATTCTGTTACTAGAAGAGAAATACTACCCTCATCCTTTAATATTTAAGGTTGATTAGTTCAATTTTAAACTACGTTAAAAAAAGCGGAGGGAGTACTATTATCGTGAGGGACAACTTTATATGTACTTATGAACATTACTTTGCAATGTACGTACAGCTCTAGCTGGACGGCGAGAGCATAGAAGCACTCGCTGAACAACACCATGAAATGATATTTTGAGTTTACAGCATTAGTTCACAGATACAAGGCTTCGTTACAACAAAATACCCTTCCCTGACAAGATCTTCCCCAAAAGATCACACACCTAAGTTCAGATGCAGGTGATAGATCTTGAGCATAAAAAATTGAGCATAAAAAAAGAACAAATTCATCTTGAAGCAAAAAACAAAGCAAGCGAAGCAGAAATTTCGAACATGGAAAAGCAGCACCAACATTACCTGGCTCAACGCTGCTGCAAAATAGCTCATCATCCTCATCCTCATTGTGCCCCCAGGTTCTGTAGATTATATAGTCAATACAAGTATATCACAGCAACGGAATTTCAAAGAGAATCAGTTGACTGTGTTAAAATATAATTATATTCACCAGTGCTCTAGGAATAAGAAATTACTTTGTACATAACAGATAAAATGTATGCTACTGCAAAAACCAAACAAACTAATAATGCAAAGTTCAAATACTCTGACAAAGGTTTTTCAAGTAACTACAGTCTATATATATTCCTTTCCTTGCCTGAGAGTTGAGATGATCAGATTGGCACACAATAGCTAGAACGGGAAACCAGATCAAATTGGACAGCATTACATAACAGCAAACCTCCCAAGTCTCTCTATTGCGTCCATTACAATGTGCGATTTTACGACCAAATATGTTAGCCTAACAAAGCAAGCAAATACAAAGCAATTTAGAGCTAGAATCAATGACTGATGCATGTACCGAGTTATAAAGAAATAGCATCACTCGTATTACAGCAAACAAGAGCAACTCTCCACCTAAATGTACATAGGAGAACTGAACCCATGGGTAGACTATGTGCTCAGAGGAACTTTGCAGGTTGCTTTATTGTGGCCATAACCCTGGCACCTGCTGCACCGCACTGCCCTTTTAATTGCGATGCGTGGGTCTGCCGGCTTCTCCTTTGGCCTGCCAACCCGTCGTCGGGTTCTTATTGGGGTTGCATGTGTTACTGGACTTTGAGATTGATCACTTAATATAGCAGGAGGCAGCATAACATCGGGTATTGGATTTATCGACATGGAGTAGGTCAAGCGGTAGCATTCTGTTCTGAAATACTTCACACAGTAATCGTAAGGGCAGTGTCCAATCCGCTCTATTACTGCAATTGCATGCATGCATGGCAACCCAGAAATATGCCACTTTCGGCAGGTACACTCCCATGCATCAATATTGACAACATTAACAGAATCATCACACACCTTGAACACATTGCCATTTTCATTACTTTCAGAAGGGATGACGTTCAGGGTGTGGGCTTTGCTCACTTCTTCCTGCAATTTCTGATTAGCTGCAGGTGTTAATAACTCAGCCCACGCATTAGAAGACTCCCTGCGTGTGTACATCATCTCCATGAGCTTGCATCTTATCATGTCAACTAACTGGACAATTGAAAGCTCGTATCTGGTGGGGATCCACTCAACAATAGTGCTAGGAAAATTGCATGAATACTGCCCATGCCTTGACCCTTTGAAAAAGGCATCTGACCATCGCTCGGGTTTAATCTCCAGAAGCCATTCAGCAAGCTTGTCAGATTCACCTTTGATTAGTTCAATATACTGATTGAACTCGTCAACTGTGCATGCATATATGGCCTTCTTAAGATGCTCAACCATGACATCTCTTGCTTCTTCGGTCCATGCATCATCCAATTGTGTCTTAAATTCTTCAATAAGATAGTCCACACAGTATCCGTGGTGACTGTCAGGGAAAACCAAAGGCACTTCATCCCATAGTCCATTTTCTCCATTCGATATGAATGTTATGGCACGGGAAGCTGACACAGAAGATTTAAGTTGCTCAAGAAACCAATGCCAGTGTTCACTGCTCTCATCATCCACTACAGCAAATGCAACTGGGAACACATCACCTTCACTATCAACAGAAGTGGCAGTAAGTAGCTTCCACTGCTTATTTGGTTTTGCAGATATTACATCAAGAAAAAGTAATGGTCTGCACCCATGCTCAAAACCATGAAGCGATGCATGGAATGCAACAAACAAACGAAATTTTGAATCTTCCATAGGTACTACAGTGGCCACACTTTGAGGGTTTGTCTGCATGATCCGTCCACAAAACCAAGGTAGCTGACTGGTTACCTCATCGTGTGTGCTATGAAGTTCCTTTTGAGCAATTGATCTTCCACGCCAAGCCTGAGAGTAATTTAGGCATAGTCCATACTCACGCTGAAGATCACTTGCAATATCTCTTGGCCTGTAGTTTGGACTATCGCGTAACTTTTCTTTTATAACACTAGCAACCCATCGCTGAGAAGCCAGACGATGACTTTTGACTGTCTCTGATTCACAGGTGTGGCTTTCAGATATTTTCTTGATCATGAATTGCTTCTTGGCAGGGGATTTGGAAGCATGTATTCGCCAAGGGCAATCTTCACCAGTACATTCCGCAGTCACACGAGATGAATCATTCTTGATAAATCTGTAATGGAATTTATGGGCAATGGCATACTTATGTAAGGCATCACGGAAATCTTTAGGACCATCAAACACTTGACCAACTCCAGTAATCACATTCTTCCATGTTGCACAGATCTTCTGCCTCTTAGACCCATCCTGAGTCGTTGGCACAACTGCAGTGGTATCTACAGGAGTACCAGAGTCAGCAACAACAATCGATGCCCTGCAAAGATGTCTTGTGTCAATTTGGCAAAGAAATTGACAAGAAATTTACGACAAAACTAGATAGGTACCTGTTGTCAACCTTCTTTTTCATGACATAGATGTATGTAGTCTCAGATTCTGCATGGAACTCAACCATGCGGTGTAGATCCTTGTCATTGGAAATAGAAATCAAGGTTTTCTTATTTTTTGGAAGGAAATACTTGAACACAAACTGATCGACTCTGATATTATTCAGCGTTGAAGATATTTCATGCTTGAATGCACTGAACGTCCAGTCACTTTTGACAAGCATTGCGTGTGCTTCTCCACCAGAGTAAGACATTAGTCCATCAGCATCTGTGCTGAATTCTCCACCTACTTGAAGAACAGCCACAATTTCTCCCTTCCCCATGAGCGCTTATGTCCTAAAATACAAGCGATCAATCCAACAATTAGGCTTATGTAAAAAGTTGTGACTTTCAGGGAAATGAGTCACATGAGTTAGCCTTAGTAGGAAAGCAACTATTTGCTTAGCGATTAATAAGCAAGATTCGAGAATCCTGAAGATTATATGGATTTTCCAACAGAACAATTTACCTCAAGGATTTCATAATCAGACCTGCAGACCTTGTAGTTTCTCTTTTGTAAATTCAAACAAGGGCAACCATGTGAAACTACAGGGGTGTAAAACAGTGTGGTTGTGAAGCACAAACTCTGCCTGGTCAAGTAATGATGAACGGTAGAACTTAAACATTGGTTTAGCTGGTCCCACGTGTCCAATTATGATCGAATTGGTGGGTGACCTGGACCCAGGAATTCAGGGCTTTAAAGAAGGTTTTAAGGCTAGCTGCCCTTCTAATTTCAAATTCGACAACACAGGAATTGTGTACCTTGCCCAGCCCAGTATTCAGGCATAATAATAACTACGCATTCACGCTACTTTTCCAAATCATGTAAACAAGATTTACCAAGAATCCATAATGGCCAATTGCATAACTAAGATGGCAGAAATTAGCTGAATTCAGAGTAAAACAAGTAGTAGTACCACTCCTGCCAGAATCCCAAACCCGCAAGCAGCCGCGGAGCGGAAGCACTAAAATTTATTCATCGGAGGAGGCCAATAATACACTAATCTTTCGAAATTTTACAAAGCTAAGAAGTAATATAACCGCCTCTCTTTATAGTGCTGTGTCGAACAATCAAGTTTTGCCGGACGAATCGAATCGATAAATTCACGAACCGTAGCAGACGCACTTCGGGGGTTACCTACGATGGATCAGCGGTCCACCGGCGGCGACGGCGGCGGCGGTGTCGCTACGGGAGGGCGACGCCCGGCGGTGGCGCGCGCTAGGGCTCCACGTCAACGGAACCCGCGGCGGGGGGGCGGGGGCTCCCCGACCCTGAGGCGGGAGAGGAGAGGAGCTACGACGAGGCCTCCCTCCCGGCTGCTGCGGCGTCGACGGCGACGGCGACGGCGACGGCGACGGGCGGGCACGGCGACCGGGGGAGATAAGGCGCGTCGTCGTGTAAGTCTGCGGCCACGGATCTAGGGTTTGCGCGCCGGGCCTACTTGTCAGAAAACGTCTCACGTGCTGGGCCGGCCCACCAAGAACCAACTCAGTAGGCCGGGCCGCCACCATCTCCCTGGATCGTGGGCCCAACGACAGTAGCTGGGCCAACTGATTCCTGGGCTTTGATGCAGCCCATCAAGAGGCTAGACAACAAACAACTTTTCACAGCAGAAGCCATTTTCTCCACGCGAAAATGATGTGTAAAAACACATATTAACAGATAGACAGACAGAGATCTCCAATCTGAAACCGTTGCCATTTTTACATCCTTTTTACCGCCTCATCATGGAGATAATGATGATGGGGCTGTCGGTCGAAGGTGACAGGAATTTGTGGCGTGATTAAATTAATTAATTTATTGGTCGAGCCACCGCATCGCAGACGCAGGGAGGGGCCGGATCGATAGAGCTGAGAGCCACGCTAGGTGCTCCTGTTGTGTCAAAAGACCTGGCACTACTAGCGATCGATTGTCCGTTAATTTTGCTTTTTAAGTTCTTCCCTATCCGTTTCATATTATATGTCATTTGCAGGGTTCACCCTACCGCCGGTTACCGCGGTTACCGGCCGTACCGCGGGGGGTCGGTAACCCTTACCGACGGTAGGGTTTGAGCAAATTTTGCTCAAATTCAAAATTTTCAAAAATAACCAAAAAAAATCATGGATGTATAGCTTGATTTGTATGTTGTTATGGTGTAAAAATTTCTTGAAAAATAGTAATAGAAATTCAAATTTGAGCGCAAAAACTAATGTCGATTAGAAAATAGAAAAAATAATTAATGTAATGGGCCAAATATGCACTGTTCAGGAGGCCCAATAAGGCCCAACAGTGGGGGGAAAATATCTACCGCATCTCTTCCTGGTTTCTGTCGCGTTCTTCTATTTCTTTCCTCTCTCTCTCACAGCTGCGCATTGCTTCGAAGGGGCGACGAGGACTGCCGCGCCAGATCCGCCGCCTCCGTGCCGGCGTGGCTGATTTCCGCGCGGTATGCAGCGGTAACCGCGTGGTAGGAGGCGGTTACCGACTGGCTCGCCCACCAACAGGTATGCGCATGAAAGGGGGCGGTTACCGCGAGATTTGTCCGGTAACCGTGCGGTTTGGGAGAGAAACCGTAGCCTGTTATTTACGTTCGCTGCTATTGTTGAGCACGGTAATCGTTGTTTAAACCGCGGTAACCGTGGTTGATACCGTGGTTACCGTGCGTGAAACCGTGGTATATGTTTTTTTATACTGTCATATGAACATATTAGGTGAAAACATTGTGAATATGAATTATATTTGGGGATTATGTGAAGTACGTTGGGAATATGAGTTTATTAGCGAATTTGGTTGCCCGTACTTGCCTAAAACCATGCATGTGAAGTACATTTGATTGTTTTGTTGTATACATGCCCGAATTTGGGTGCAAGCTTAGCTGTATACATATTATTGCGTTATGAGAGGTATGTTTATAATTCCTAGTGATAATTTTTCATGCATTTCATACAGGGTGGAGATGGCAGAAAGTAGGGACCTTGTGTGGGAGCACGGGGAGGATTTTGCACCTGGATGGCGTTGTAAGTATTGCCATCAGAGGAAGAAAGGTGGTGGGGCCACACGACTAAAAATGCACTTGGGACACAAAGGGAAGGGGGTTACATATTGCAATTCAGTGCCTCCGGATGTCCGTGATTTCTTCAAGCGTGAATTGGAGAGGATAAAACAAACAGGTGACAAGCGTCAGAATGATAGCAATAGAAGGGTTGAAGCGGCAGGGGTCAACTATTATGACCTAACAGGTGATGCCGACGAGGAGGAACAAATGGAAGCAGCCATGGCAGCCTCATGACAAGAGGAAAACTTCAGGAGCCACGTGGAGGAGCGTGGTGGCACTTATGAGCATGGTGGTGGGAGTGGATCCGCTCAGCTCGAGGCACGGAAAGGTAGAAGTAACCCAATTACCAGTATGCTACGAAGGGCTACATCTCATAGGGAGTCACCTGCTGTAAGAGATTACAATCTAGCATCTGCCAAGTTCCCTGTGCAGACACGCATTGACATAGGATTCTTCACAAAGAAGGGGAAGCAAGCTAGGCAGGCCATTGGTGAGTCATGGGCAAGGTTCTTCTTTACCGCCGGCATTCCAGGTAGAAATGCCGATAATCCATACTTTGTCAGTGCCGTTCGGGAGACACAAAAGTGGGGTACGTATGTATTTATTAAGGAATTACATTTTTCTAACACATTTTTCTAATTACTTCATACGTCAATTAACAGCGTCCCCATTGCAACAACCGCCCGGATATAAACGGAAACGTCCTATTAAGGGAATCCGTTTTATTTTTAATTTGTTCCACCAACAATGTTTCAGCAAGTGTACTTGTGATGTTTTACTATATATGAATGAAATGTTGCAGTGGATTTTTTGTATTGTTTAATATTTTCCATCTGATGGACACGTGGTTTGTTGATGTACACGGGGTTTAAGTGTTGCAAATGGCTTCAAATCGTTTGTTGCATACGTTGAACCAAATTGTTTCATCTAGCGATCTGACTGTGTTTCACATTTTTTAAGAATTGAAACATTCTTTCGCTATTTACTGAAACATTGTTTTTATATAGGGTGAAACAACATCTGATTTTTTAGAAACCGTTGTTGTCGACGAGTGATACTTACGGACCTGATGAGTAGAGTATTAGGGTATGTCGGAACGAGGGTCTACGTAGTACGGCATCAAGCAGACAAAAGACAAGGATTATATTGGTTCAAGCCCCTTGTCAGGTAATTGCCCTAATCCAGTTTATATGAGATTGATGATGATGAGAACAGATTACAAAGAGAGTAGTCGAAACAAATGGTACCGACGAGATCGTAGTCGAGGGATTCGACGAGATCTCCCGGCGAGTTGACTCCGCGTACTCCGGCTTCATAAACTTTGTTGGGTGTGTTGGCGATTGAATTGGATGTCTTGAACCCCTGCCAGGGGGTCCCTTTCATACCGTGTATCATCTTGATCCCCAAGAAAGGTTTGAGGATATCGGATCTGATACGGTATAACAGAAACTCTATCTATTCCGAGTAGAACTTTGGAAATCACTTGACTCGTAGAGATACTTTCCATAACATGAGTCGGTTTCCTCATGACATTCATAGGAACAATCCGTATACGTGAAGATAAACCTTATCGGTATATTTCATAAGTCGCAGGATAGGAGGTATACCTTATCTATAACCCTGACAGTTGTTTCATACATTGTAGCAAAATGTTTCATGAGGTGATTTGGTTGTGTTTTAGTTTTCTAAAAGAGTGAAACATTTTCGATCTATTATGTGAAACATGTTCGATCTATTTGGTAAAACAGCGCCTGATTTGAGTCTGATTTGTAGGCGCCTCGGGATCATCCCAAGCAACCAGTACGTTCTTTGCCGACGTTTTCACGCGTCTAAGTTCACTAAGGGTGTGTTTAGTTCATGTTAAAATTAGAAGTTTAATTGAAATTGGAATGATGTGACAGAAAAATTGAAAGTTCGTGTGTGTAGAAAATTTTAATGTGATGAAAAAGTTAAAAGTTTGAAGAAAAAGTTGTAACTAAAGCAGGCCTAAGTCCATGCATTTAACTCTCGGCCACGTTCACAACAGCTAAATGTACAGCTAGACTGCCTAGACTGCTAGACAGGGCACTTCACATAAAAAATCATATGAAGGTTTCTTTTAATAATAATTATAAATGTAAATTATAATCTTGTAATAATTAATACTTAGAAAATTAATTATATACTAATATTTTTTTCTTTTTCTTTTACAAATCAATTCAGCATAAAAGTTGTTTAGAACGAGGCTTAAACTCACCATTACTTAGGGCATGTTTGGTACGGCTCCAACTGCTAAATTTAGCTTCAGAAGTTGGGTCTGGAGTAAAGTTGTAGAGCTACCCAAACCCAGCTCCACAACTCTAGTTTATTTTGTAAGAGAGCTCCACCCAGCTCCACTCCCGGTTTTGATGGAGTTAAAACTGTTTGGCTGAGCTCTAGCTCTAGGAGGAGTGGAGTTGGAGCTGGAGCTGGAGCTGTGCCAAACAAGCCCTTAACTGTTAGCAAGGAGCACTTAAGACTAGGGCTCAACTAATTTAACAAGTTAAGGGTTTTCTCCAAAACTTTTGTGATGGTTTAAGAGAATCTAAGCATCTCCTTAGCTCGTGGGCTTTCTGTTTTTTACCATCCCTCTGATTTGTGGCTCCAAGGAGAGCTCAATTATAGAATTTTATTTTTTTATTTCTTTTTCAAAAGATTTAAAAATGAATTCTCATTTCAAATTTTTACAGAAATATACTCCTCCTGTCCTATTGTAGCACGATACGTATAAATCGTCCTACGAAAGGGTAATCTATATGATGTGGCATCCCGCGAGAGGGTACACCGTGATAATTTGGCAGGCAGCCCCCTCTCGGCGATAAATTATCCTTGGGTGGGCGATTTATCGCTGGGAGCGGGGCACCTACAAAATTGCCATAGCACATCTACTACATCACCGAAGTAAATCATCCTAGGAGAGGACGAGAAAGGGCAATATGCAAATTTTATCATGGTACGGCACCTCTTTCATCTTGTGACACGTTACAGAGCCCGCCCTACCATAGGGTAATTTATATGCCCCACCCTACGGTATGTCGGGAGGAGTATATTTTTAAAAACTTTAGAACAATAATTTATTTTTCAATCTTTTAGAAAATAAATATAAATATAAAAAATTCCTCAATTATACAGTAGCTGGGCCAACTAGTTTCTGGGCTTTGACGCGGCCCATCAAGCAAGAGGCCAGACAAGAAACAACTTTTCAGCAGAAGCCATTTTCTCCACCCGAAAATGATGGGCAGAAACACAAATTAACAGAGACAGCTGACAGAGAGCGCTGGTATGCTTCTGCCACATCGCGATCTCCAATCTGAAACCTTCGCCATCGTCGCATCACCACCATCCACCGATCGATCGAGTGCTCCAACCGGAGCGGAGCGGGCGTTTATCACGCCGGAATCGCAAGGCGGCGCCGATGAATCGGCTGAAAATGCATGGCACGTGCAGCCACGTAGGTGTTGATGAAGCCGTCGTCGTACTGTGGGTAGCTGTGTAATGTTGACCTCGCCATCGATCGTATCGATGGATCGAGTGGATATGATGATTATGGCTGTCGGTCCAAGATGACAAGAATTTGTGGCGTGATTGATTATTGGCGCGTGTAATTAATGTAGTGCCGGTCGAGCCACCGCATCGCAGGGAGAGGGGCCGGATCGAGCTGAGAGCGACGCTGCTTTTCTGTTTGTCAAAGATCTGGGCACTAGCGATTGTCTGTTATTTTAAGTACTCCCTCCGTTTCAAAATATTTGTCACCGTTGACTTTTTAGCACATGTTTGACCATTCGTCTTATTCAAAAAATATTGTGAAATATGTAAAACTATATGTGACATGAAAGTATATTTAACAATGAATCAAATGATATGAAAAGAATAAATAATTAATTAAATTTTTTGAATAAGACGAATGGTCAAACACGTACTAAAAAGTCAACGGTGTCAAACATTTTGAAACGGAGGGAGTACTAGCAGGGCGGATCCAGAAAAAAAAAGTTGAGGGGACTCAACATACCGAGTACACCGATATAAACACATAATCTCAGTATTAAACTATGCTAAAATACTATTATAAGACCTTTAGCACTTCTTATCTTATCAACTATGATGAAAAAATTGAAGGGGGGCTTAGGGGGGTATCCATGGGTTTTGTGGGTGTTGGATCCGCCCATGTACTAGCTAGTTTACTCCTTACTAGCAGTTGCTAAGCTAGTCTTGGCCATGGAAATATGTGCAATTCATGTTGCATTTGCATCTGTTCCTCCTGGTGAAATGTTCACCACCTATACAGATTTGAGTTCAGATCATATGATTAAACCGGTTTTTCTGGAGCAGAAAATCTCTTCTTGTTGGAGACAATATAATAACCCCTTGATGAGTGTTATGATATTCCATGCAACGTTTGTTAGGTTTAGCTGGTGTGTTGATCTCGTTTTTATAACTGTGTAGCAATCCAGTACTTAATTTGTTAATTAGCGCTTTAATCCATGAGTCATGCATACCGATCGTAGCTAGTAACAACTAGTTAAACCGTACTTTGGCATGTGCAAGTCAAACCTTTTAACAATTGGTGGCTATATATCATGGCAAAGTTAAAGTTAATTTCTTCTAGAGTGTGACGAGAGAAATAGTAATCCAGGAAATCACATCACTTTTCGTACTGACCCGAGAGACGGATCTCGCAACAACATTCGTTGTACTTCCGGATGAACGTACTCACAACTAACTTTAACTTCAGCACCTGGTTTAAGAATAGCTTTTTACCTAAAGCCTGGTCAAGCAGTACTAAACTTTACCAAATTCCCCCCCCCCCCCCCCCAACAAACCGCCTTTCGCCCTGGCCCATTAATTACGCCATTAGCGCACTACTGAATTAATTAATGGGTACCCTTAATTAATTACCGCCACTAACGAAGTAGTAGTGCGCTCGAATCTTCCTTTATCCCAGAAAGAAGAGAGGAAAATCTGCCTCAAAAGTAAAAGTTAAACCAATGCCGCGACGCGAGCCAGCTGCTGATCCGGATGTTGCTGTTGTCGATGATGATGATACGCACGCGGCGACCCGGCCCGCGTGATGTCAAAACTAACCGCTCCACCATTGTCTCTGACGCCGCCTTCGTCGTACGTCGTCGATCGTCTTCGTCAGCGTCGTCGTCGACTCGTTGTCTTCGGGTGTGCAAGGAATGTCGCGAACGCGCCGGCGCGCGGCCGGCCGGCCGGTCCACGTACGCACGCACGCAGGTCGCGCAAAATTGACGGATGGCCTCTCGTTTCGCTTGTGATTTTATTCTCCTTCCTTTCTCTCTATCGTGTTCTGTCTTGTGTTATTCAAAGAAGAGCAGAGTAGATCAGTGTACTGTGCGTAGGTACGCCGTACTGTGCTACTGAGTAGCGAAGTTTGCCTTTTTCCCGGCCGTTTTCGTGCACACGAGGCGATGCATCGGTTGATCAGAGACCTCTGCGCGCAGACGTGAGGATGCAGTACAGTGCTACTTCTACGCAATTTGTGTACGATGATATATACGATCACTCCAGAAGCTACTCGATCCGAACGAGAATGGAGTAGTAGCAAAGAGACACTTCGAACAACAAACAGCCGCTAGTAGCCCATGCGATCGTTGGACGGACGCGATCGAGCACTTGGAAAATCGCATGTGTGCAGCAGCTAGCGATCGAATTTGATCCCCATATCTGATTCTGAAGTACACTTCATCTGTCCCAATTTAAAATAAATTTACCTTTTACTCATATCAATATAAAACCAAAAATCAAAATATCCTCATTTTAGCAAATCACAATACAATTATCTATTTCTTTATCTACGGTTAATATATTTATTTCCAATTTTATAAACTTCGATACAAATAATTATTATTTTAAAAAAAATCTTATCTGTGAGACGGCGGAGTGAATAGCCAAAGGCTAGCGGCACACGACGCTCACACGTATACGTACGTACTCCTACGACATAACGCGCTTGCTTCTCTTTGCTTGCCTCGAGACGCAGTACATACGCCACCTGCCGCGCCCACCTCCTGCTGATACACACACGCACGACAGCTCGCGTGGCGTGTGCGTAAACGCCGCGCCGGCGCCCGCGCGCGGCGACTCGGAAACGCGAGACGACCGACGCAGAGCAACCGATCGATCGAGCACGCAGCCAACTAAATTTTCTCCCGTGTGTGACGCACGCCGGGTCGCCGCCCAGCCGGCCGCATTCGCCGCCAGCTACTACGTGATTCGATCACAGTTAATATATTTATCTCGTCATGGTTATATGCCTAATTAATCTTTTTCTGTCACCGTTTCATACGCGAGCGAGCTAACACTAGCAGTACAATTGTACAAAATGCATGTCGATTTCCAGTGAAAAGGGTTAGAGGAGTAGTTGGTCGATCGCCTGTCTGTCCTCAGTGGAGCACAGCGAAAATGGATGAAGAAAAGGCACGGGGAGAGAGGGCCAATTAGAGCCAAAAGACGCGGTTTAGCTACTAGTAGTATTACGTAACGCGCACTAGTGCACTACTACTGTCTACTGCTCACAGTGGTTGTGGATAGCAACGTACGACGGCGAGCCATTTGCAGTACAAATGTACAAAAGGACGCGAGTACTATTATATATGACCCTCTGGAATGGATCATTCCAAGCAACCCGGGTAGGTTCGTCCTTCCGACGTTTTCCCACTACGGCCAGGTTCACTGAATCCATGCACGCATTTAACTATCGACCGCTGGGCAGGGTTATTCTCCAAAATTTTCATTGGATTTAAGAGGATCTGAGTATAATAAATTAGAAAATACTCCCTCCATACTCATAAAGAAAATCGTTTAAGACAACGACACGGTCTTCAAAACACAACTTTGACTTCTTATTTCTATAAAAATATTTATTGAAAAGTGATATATGTATACTTTTATGAAAGTATTTTTCAAAATAAATCTATACATATAATTTTTATATTTTCAAACTCAATAACTTGAAAGTTATTCATGATTTATATTCCCAAGGTTTGACTTAAACATTATCCTAAACGACTTCCTTTATGAGTATGGAGGGAGTATAAGCTAATCTAGGGTAAGTCCTAACTGCTTTAGACCATTATTAGACGTGACTTCTCCCCTGCACACATGTACACTCGAGTTTCGGTTTTCCATTTAACTACTAGGTGTGCTCCACCGCACAGTTACATAAAAATCTCTAAAAATATTGGGAAAAAAAAGGGGTATGGGACATCATCCCATATGGACGCGCAGGATGATACAGTGCCGCACCTCCGCCCATGCGCACGGTTGAGAAAGGTGTGTGCGGTGTGCCACCACTGCTGCTTGGTCGACCGGTATCGTTCTAGCTGATTGATGAGATCAAGGCGGCGATGGAGGAGTGCTATCCTAACACGTCCACTTCAAGGCTATCTCTAGTTACATTGACAACATCTTCTCCTGCACCTTGGATGCCCAGCGCGACCTTCTAAATCCCACCTTTGGCTCATCTACGACTTCCGCCGCAAGAAATTCACCATTGAGGAGCTCGTCATCCTTTTCTGGCATGCACCATTGATGTCGGCCAACAATCCCCCTCCACACTCACCTCACTGGCTCACTGCACCACTAGAACAAATATAATTAACCTCCTCGCCGATAACTTGCACAACTAGGAGTGGCCCCGTTGTTTCCCTCATTCTTGCTAAAGCTAAGGGGAGGTGGAGTTCTTGTACAACAATTACTACCACAACAATCTAGCGAGGGTCGTCACCTTCAACTCCGACTATTGTTGATGGGAAAGGAGGCGCGGCCATGTGAGAGAGTACTCCAAGAATAGCACATTATAGGATGTACTTATAAGTACCCATCCTATTACCGCACGAGTGCCACGTCTGATATATGCCTGCTAACCAGGATTAGTATCTATGAGTATCAGGCTGGTAACTACATATTCGAACATAGTATAATACCGTTTTGCGAAAAAAAGGGCACTCCCTCCATTGTAAAATATAGCATCTTAGGATTAAATTAGATATTTTCTCATGTCCAAATTCTTAATACTAGAAAATTTCCAATCTTATCTTAGTTTGCTATATATTTTTGGAACGAAGGAAAAGTAACTAGACTATTGCTTTAGATATCTTTTACCACGTAACAGAGAACCTATGATATAAGGCATAATATAATTAGACCAATTGAAGAAGTTCCAGGATTTAATTCATATCTTCCAAAAACCTTTTAATGTTTCTCTCTTCATGCTTAAAAGCAGAAGAGACTCATTTAATCACCCCCTTAAATTTGCACTCCCTTCAATTGTCTCCACAAGAAACTTCCAGATTCACATTTAATGACACTCCAAAATACACCACATATAAATCAATTAAATCAATACATGCAACTTTGTACTTACAGTCCATATCACACATTCACACTGGATACAACAACAGTAGTAGTATCTCCACTCTCCACTGGCCACTGTGTCGGCCACCTGTCACCCAAACCAAGCAAAAGCCAGGCAGACTCCGCCTCAAACCCAGCAGCGCCGCGCGCGCGCGCGCGCGACGCGCCCGCGCTCGTGTCGCGTCGCGTCGCGCCCACAAAACCCAGCAGCGGCTAGCCGCAACCGCGCGCGCCCTCCTCGCCCACCTATATATACCCCCTCCTCTCCCCTCTCCCTCCTCACCGCCGCAGCAGAGAGCGAGCGAGAGAGGCAAACACACGCAGAGCTCGAGAATGAGGGGAGGAGTGAAGCTGGTGGGCGGAGGCGGAGGCGGGGTGGCGGCGACGTCGTCGTCGGCGGCGGCGGGTGGTGGTGGTGGGCACCCGGGGATGTGGAGGACGCCGACGCCGTACCTTTTCCTGGGGTTCGCGGTGATGATGGGCCTCATCGCGGTGGCGCTGCTCGTGCTGGTCTGCACGCGCCGCAAGAACCACGGCGACGCGGGGTCGTCGGCGTCGGCGGCGGCGTCGGTCAAGGTGCTGGTGCCGCTCGACCGGGAGCCCAAGGTGGTCGTCATCATGGCCGGCGACACCGCGCCGTCCTTCCTCGCCAGCGCCAAGCCGCTCTCCTCCTTCGTCCTCCCCCCGCCGCCGCCACCGGCCGCCGCCGGCGAGCCGTAGGGGAAACCGCCCGTGCTGCAAGTTGCGCGTGGGACCAATTTTGTTCGTGAGATTTGCTACTAGGAATTAATTTTTTCCACCCCTGTAATCATCGGCTGCTAGCTCTAGCACACATGGAGAGGAGACGAGAGGTCAAATTTGGGTCGAATTCTTGGCCAGCTTCGGCTTTGGAATCTGTAAATTCAAGTCTTTTGGTTTGTTGTTGCAACTGACAAAAGGCAAAGCTTTGTGCTTCCAATAAATGCATCAAGGCTTTTCTTCCCCTTCCAACTCCAAAAAATTCTTCCTTTTCCACTCATCTCATCTCTTCCTTTCTTCCTTTTCCGATGATTTCTGTTCATCATTGTTCTGATTGATCAGTGAGATGAGTTCATGGACAACCTCCTCCATGGCAATGAGTCACCAAGCACTCATTTGCGGAATTCAGATTGGTCACAACTCACACCACAACCTTTTTGTGGGGGGCAGGGCAGAGTAATCGTGTGTTTGGTGAGGTGATGGATGCAAAATTCGTGTGGAGCGACAGAGCAGAGGCGCACCCTGACCGGTACTACTGTGCTAGCACTGGTACAGTAGTAGCTTGGCCGCATGCACGATTGGTTGGAACTTGTGTTTTTTTGCTTCTTCAACTGCTACAGTACAAGGGGGTCGCAAGGAAGGAAGAAGCTGCAGAGCACAACAGATAGGACGAGTAGTGCAGATGGCCAGATGATGCACACATACACAGTGGTGTTTGGGGCTCTTGCATAGTGGGGGACCGGTCACTTTTGTTGATTTTAGTGTGGTTACCGTGAAAATGGGCAAAATTTGGTTATGTTTGGCTGAAAATTTTAATGGTAAAATTTGGGTAAGCTCGTGTGTGTTTTTTTTAAAAAAATTGTGTTCTCTAAAAGACTTTGTTATGTTTTAGGCTTTCTGAAAAGCCGGGTCGATCATCTTGAAAACGAATTAAGAGCAAAAATTGCCAAAAGCTAAAAATCTAGTTTGTTTTCCTTCTAAATTTGACCGGTTTATCGAGCGATTTCTCAGAACAAATCAATTCACTGAGGTAGATATCCACAGTTCCCAACAAATCAACTTCAATAAGGCATCCCACCTTAAAATTTTTCGCCCTGTCACATCGAACGTTTAACACTTGCAATCAAACGTTTAACACTTGCATGAAGTATTAAATATAGGCTAAAAAATAACTAATTGAACAGATTGCGACTAATTTACGAGATAAATCTTTTAAGCCTAATTGCTTCATGATTTGACAATATGGTGCTACAGTAAACATTTGCTAATGACGGATTAATTAGGCTTAATAAATTCGTCTCACGGTTTACTGACGGATTCTATAATTAGTTTTTTATTAGTGCCGAACACCTTATGTGACATGCTATATAATACCCGATTAATTAGGCTTAATAAGTTCGTCTCGCGGTTTACTGACGGATTCTATAATTAGTTTTTTATTAGTGTCCGAACACCTCATGTGACACCCTATTTAATACCCGATGTGACACGCCAAAACTTTACACCCCTAAGATAAATGACCTCGATTATCACTCCAATTATTTCCGAAAGTACATGGATAAGATAACTTTTAGGTTACCTCCCATCACATCGAGAGGTAAAAAAAAAAGGGAGACCTTCCATATATTACGATTGCCTAATGTATTTTCTTTTTTTAAAAAAAGAAAAAGAGGTAAAGTTCATCAACAAAATTGTCATATGCTTTGGTATGGAGATGCTAGAGTTAAAATCTCTCTTCGCATCCTATAACCTTACCACCCACCCCCTCATGGTGATGCCAAACATGCTATACAAGCCATATATGGGTATGCATCAATGCGTTCCTGTGAAGTAAACTAATCATAAATTAACATTAGTTAATTTTACAGTTTATTTTAAACATCAATAAAGTCCATTTAAGCTCTGAAGTATAAAATCTCAAATCATAAAACCGGTTTGGATATCCCTTCTAGCGGCTTTTTTTTTAGATCGATCAAACCACTTTAGTTAGTTTAATTTCTTAGCAAATGAAAATACTCAGGTACTTAAAAATAAGTGCAATTAAAGTGTGTCGCGACACGTTGCGTGGAATTCATACAACAGCGGCGATCATTCAAGATGTATAAACTTTACCAAAACTATGGGCCCTGCATACAAGACCACATCTGATATATATTATTATTGAGACATTTGAGTATTGACTTCTCTCCCCCAAAAAAATTAAATAAGATAACTTTAATCAAAGGAGAAATAAGGTCGTATGTTCTGTTGCCACTTTGTACGATCAGGTGCATCCATGATCCATTTGTTTGTATGTCCATTTGCCTCAAAAAAAAATTGGCATTGTTCTTTTCAACAAAAAGATATCTCTGCTATTAATTATTGAACAATTAGGATATATTCCTGAGCAATTAGAAACTGAACAAAAGGGGCAAATTCTTACCAAATTGATGTGCTTTGTTCACTTTAATTTGTCAACGACCGTACCGAATTCATGATCGATGTTATGAATTATAATGACACCTTATCACAAACATCTGTAAACTGGCTTGCAGGGCTACTTACTGCATTTAAACTGCAGTTAGGGAGCGTTCTAGAAAGTGAGTTTGGGTTGGGTTAATCACTCGTTTACAGTGAATATATTTTTAAAATTGCTAAACAATATGTTTTATGAAAAATATATATAGAAATTCTTTTAAAAATCAAATTAATCTATTACTCTGATTTAATAATAGTTAATACTTAATTAATCATATGCTAGCTAATGGTTTTCCTCGTTTTTCTTTCTAAAGTGCTATCTCCGTCCAGAATAAGTTTATCTAGTACTGGATATAACACAACCTAATACTAAGAATCTGGACAGTATAATGTCTAAATTTGTAGTATTAGAATGTGTCACCTGTGGTACTAAATTAACTTATAGTGAAACGGAAGAAGTAAACAAAATAGTTTACCAGTGGCAGAGTTGCCAATAAAACATCTCTTAATTAATTGGTATTGTTAGCCTCTTAGTTAATTGGCATTAATTGTTAGCCTTTTACCTACAAGCTGGTATCAGGAACAGGGCCAATGCGCGAATAACTATGCATTGTATATATACCTCTTTTGCCATTAAGTTGAGATCAACCATACGTTTTTGCTTATCTAATCCATTATCAATGGCTGACATACCTCCATCTTTTGCCAAAGGTGCTTTATCATCATCATTATTATTACTTGTTTGATGGCAAGTAATATTCCTTAGCATAACTAACTAGATTGGCAATTAAAGTGACTTGGGTGAGTGACAGACTGACTGATTGACTGATCGATTCCTCCCTCCAGTTCTCAATTCCTTCCCATAGGTTTCATTTCACCCCCAAAATCTTTTTCTTCCAAAGTGATCATCATCCAAGAATTCCTTCTTTTTTGCTCTCATAGAAAAGAAAATGGAAGAGAAAATAAAAGGGGAAAAGAGAGAGAGGTGTGTGTAGAGTAGAGGGGTCCAAATCCAATAGCGATGCTAATATGATATCCAAGTCATGTCACTTCGGGGCCCTACGCTACTTTCCAAAAGGAGGGCGTTCTGTGTTTTTGTTGCGGCTAGCCTGGAAGCGGCGCCTCGAGCGTGTAGAGGGTAATGGGGAAGCTTTGTGCTCTTCCGTCCTCCTAAATCATCTTATTTCGAGTCTAGACCAGTATTTAAATTTTGAGGAATATGAATTGACACAATAAATATTGTCGTTTTGATTATGCTGCCATTTCATATAACCATCTAATTCAAATGGCATATAGACTAGGATGAAAAATAATTAAAGACATTTTTTCGAGTGGCAAAATGCATGAAACGGCTCTATATATCTAAAAGTAAAATTCGTCGGTGCTATTTAATTTCTTAAACTTGTATCAAATATTACTCCATCCATAAACTTTGAAAATCATAATTCAGCAAATATCCTTAGTTTGCCGATGTGGTTGTCGAGGTTACTGCCGCCTAGATTCCTCTTCGCTCTCGTCCTCACTCTCACTAGATATTGTGGACAAGACCGAACAATACTAGAGAAACTTTTACATTCGGGAAAAAAGATCGAAGTATCCACTCCCGCGAAAAATATGTTTTAGACATTGACACATTACCTAAAATAAATTTTTGATCATTAATTTGTATTTGAAAAACTAGGAAACCGGACTAAATTACTTTATGAGGCAAATATACACATTTGATTTCCCTACATCTAATCTGCATAGTTGACGAGATATTAGTGTTAAACGTTTTAAGTTACATACTAGTGGAGGGAGTAAAACATTTCAAAATAACATGTTTTGTGGTTGAAGGGAGTAATAAAATCTCTAATGCAACTAGCGAGAGTCATATCTCCACGCTATTAGGGTTAATTGGCGCTGAATTCACGGTTCATTCTTAAAAACAAGTTTTGCAAAAGGGTCCCTTTGTCAAAATTTCGGTCTCCATTCATTGTATGCAGGTACTGGTAGTTTCCACTACCTGTCATTCGCAGAAGCATCCATGAACTGAGTAATGTTGCTCTAATTTTTTTTATTTCTTTTTAATATTGTTCTAATTTTGGTGAGATACATAAACGAAAGTACCCTAGTACTAGTAGTACTATTTGCTAGCTAGTGGAAGCGGCGGATCGTCCGTGTGCAACGCCTTCATTTCTTGAGAAGTTTTTGGGAAAAGGAGCTTTTGGGAGTGGGGGCCTAGTCAGAAAACCAAAGGCAGAGGCAGGGAACACACACAGCTTGTACCCCTCTGCCATGATTGTCTCCACCACCAGGAGCTCACCAATTTCCATCTTTAACTTTTTTTTCAATTTCAATTGCCGAATATCCTGGAGCATATTACTCTGTTTCATGTCGCCAAGTCGCAACTTTGTTGCCATCGATCATATCTATGCCGTCATGGATGCATGGATGCACTTAATTTTTCATATATATGCTCGTTAATTTGTTGGGTTTTTGTTGCCATGGAGAATTAGGAAAAGCTCTGGCTCTGATTAGCCCAAATCTCTCTCGGAGTCAGAGATGCTGCTTCTCTGGGCGTGTAGAGCTAGCTATGTAGTGTAGGGACGGTTACCGCTGCAATTTAGAAATGGCACAGGGAAACTAGGTGATCTTCAACACAATAATCATATGAAATTCTTTGTGCCCGAATAAGCCCTTAGTATTTACGACCGACGACTTGTCGGTGTGAATGTGTTATGGGATATGGATTATATCGGAGGAACCCTGTTCTTTTCTCCAACAAAAGTTGAATAAATTTTTAATAAAAGTAG